AAAAGAAGAGCAGCGTTACAGCACAGGATAGTCCCACAACCTGCAGTTGGAAAGAAACGCAGGACAACACGGGACAGCAGTGGAGTCGGCACAGAAAGCCCGCCGGTGGATTCAAGGACCGACCTTGGATCCTCCTCGGAACGCTCAAGCGCAAGGTAGGTTTAGCTTGGGTTCTGGTTTACATCAGGGAATTAACAATCCCGTTCATATAGATCCAAACTTACTGTTAGCAGCACCGTCCCTAACGCCCGCGCCCGTTACCCAAACCACGGCAGCGCAGCCGGCGGCAGAAGCGCACTCTGTGTTTCAGCAGGCGGTAGACGCGCGCACTGTGTTTAATCCAGATATAGCTGCATGCACAGTTCCTTCTGCATCAAGCATTCAAGCCACGCTACAATGGCTTTCTAATCTAGCTTCGGGTGGGGGAACTTCACAGCTAAGCCTTCCCACAAACAGCCAGGTGTCCGATGCCACAGCAGTTAATGCGGGTTTGCCCCCACTTTCTTACCAAACAGACCACGTCGGAGCTCACGTTAAAAATTCTGTAAGGCAAAAAATATGGAACGGCGAGTTCGTAGACTTCCAGACACTCCTTCCTTTTCAAAACGTTGCCCAGGAGGACGATGTCCCTTTACAAATGGTTTATAACCAGTCAGGTCAGGTCATGTTTAAACCGGCAGGTAAGCAATCTTCTAAACCCCTCACTATTGCCTCCTGGACTACGGCCTTCCACATTTTAATGAGTATTTACCTGCAAAAACACCCAGGTACGGTTCAAGAGCTGTTAGGATACGTCGACGCAGTTCGGGGTGCTGCATACAAGTACGGTAATGACTCGTGGTACACCTATGATTATTATTTCCGCCATAAAATGGCTAGAGATCCCACGCGTTCCTGGGGAGCCATCGATGGCGATCTGTGGCTCCGTTACATGGTTCAGGGTAGGCAGTTTTATACTCCTAAAGATTCAAAGACTAGCACTGCTAGTCCCGTCACCGCAGTGACTGATAAACAAGTCTGCTGGGATTTTAATCTTTCCCAGTGTTCAAGAATATCTTGCAAGTATCCCCACAAATGTTCCAAATGCAAAAGTTCAAACCACGGTGCCCGGCAATGGAATTCTTTTCGTACCAAAACAACAAACAATGCACAAGTGCGGCTCCGAAACAGGGCCAGCTTGCCTCCAACAGCCAATGTCGTTAGCTCCGGTACTCATAAAATATAACACACTAATTCCATGGATCGCCGCGTACTATGCCGTATGCCCCAAAGACGCCGATCTATTACAGGTAGGTTTTGCCTCAGGTTGTAATTTACAGTTCTCTGGTTCGTTCATTCCTAACGACGCTCCCAACCTTAGATCAGCGAGGCAACTTCCTGATATTGTAAGTATAAAGCTACAGAAAGAAATCTCTCTTGGTCTCATTGCCGGGCCTTTCCCCTCACGCCCGATTCAAAACCTCAAGGTATCTCCCGTTGGTTTAGTCAAAAAGAAATCTGACACATCAAATGTCTCCACAATCGCGGATAGCTACCGTCTTATACACCATCTCTCCCATCCCCGGGGATCGTCCGTCAACGATGGAATTTCCGCGGAATTTTGCTCTGTTCGGTACACACGGTTCGATGAGGCGGTAAGTTTAGTTCAGCGTTGAGGCAATGGCGCTTAATTAGCGAAATTCGATGTTAAGTCAGCATTTCGTTTGCTCCCAGTGCGTCCGGAGGATTTCCACCTGTTAGGTATGTACTTTCAGGGAAATTATTTTGACAAATGTCTCCCTTTCGGCTGTTCTATATCATGCGCCTTGTTTGAAACATTTAGCCGTTTTTTGCAGTGGTGCATAACCAAATACACCAACAGTACATCCATCATGCACTATCTAGATGATTTCCTAATGGGAGGTCGTGCCCAATCAGGTAAATGTACCTGTTAGATTCAAGCATTCAGCTTTTTCAACATTTGGCATTCCCATAGCACAAGAAAAAACAGTTCAACCAACCACGACCATCACTTTCCTGGGCCTAACCATAGACACCGTTTCTATGGAGATTAGAATACCACCAGAAAAAATCAATCAGTTGTGTCAGGAAATTGTCACCTTACTGCAGTCACAAAAGCGTAAACTAGAAGTTCACCAGTTACAATCCCTATTAGGTAAGCTGTATTTTGTGTGTCGCGCAGTTAGGTGCGGGAGGGCCTTTTGTAGACGCTTGACTGATGCTCTTTGCGGAAAAGTCCATCCCAATCATCGAATAAGACTCACTAACAGTATGAAACAAGACCTGCAAGTATGGTTACAGTTCCTGCAGCAATACAATGGTGTATCTGTGTTTCATGATTCTATTTGGCTTACTGGTCAACACTTACAGCTCTTCACAGATGCATCTAGCACACACGGCTTCGGGGCGTATTTCCAGGGCAGCTGGACATGTGCTTCCTGGCCTCAAACATGGATACAAAAAGGCTATACCAAGGATATGACACTCCTTGAATTTCCTATTGTGGTGGCGTTAAAAATGTGGGGAAATCGTTTGAGCAACAAAAAAGTTATGTTCACATGTGACAACCAAGCCGTCGTACATATCATCAACAAACAATCATCCAAAAACAAGAATGTCATGGCGCTAGTTAGGTGCTTAGTCTTACTCTCCTTGCAGCACAACATAATATTCCACTCCAAGTACATTAGCACGCATGATAACGCTATAGCTGACGCTCTTTCGCGCTTTCAGTGGCAGAGATTTCAACACGTGGCTCCAGACGCAGACCCGACACAGAGCAGCTTACCAAAAGACATTTGGGAGATTGTATGACAGAATCTCGTAGACTAATCTCGTCCTCTTTATCTCGCAACACAAGACGCACATATTACACGGCACTACAATGTCTCCAACATTTTAGGCGCGCCTTTAGCCTACAACTAGACGGGCCCATTTGCCTAGACCAGCTTCTGCAATTCATAGGCTACATGTCAATTCAAGGTAAATCACCTCGTACTGTAAGGGCCTACATTTCAGCCTTATCCACCTGGCATAAACTAAATAACTGTATCAATCACTGTGAACATTTCTTGGTTAGAAGAGCCATCATCGGAATGCACAAGATTAAAGTTAAACGGGACATACGAAAGCCCATCATTTTCCCAATTCTTCAGCGAATCGTCAATGCTTTGCCTGTTATCCGCAGCTCTTCTTACGAAGCTCAGATGTTTAAATCAGCATTTACCTTAGCCTTTTTTGGTTTCCTTAGGGTCAGCGAATTGGTTTGCAGTTCACAGGCCGATGATCCAAAAACTTCACTGCAAATTAATGATGTTTCACTTTCCGACCGGGGATTAACATTGCGCATAAGGTTTTCGAAAACTGACCAGTTCGGTAGAGGAGCAGTGCTTTCAATTTCTGCTATTGTCTCAGAACTATGCCCTGTTAGCGCTCTCGCTAGGTATCTCAGGTCCAAACCATGCACTACCTCACAGCTTTTTGTCCATTTTTATGGCTCGTCACTAACGCGCTATCAATTTCAGGCGATTCTCAATAAGTCGCTATCACATGTCGGTTATGACGTGACCCAGTATACCTCACATTCTTTCAGAATAGGCGCTGCTACAACTGCGGCGATTAATGGTTTGGATGAAAGTATAATTCAGCATTATGGTAGATGGTCATCTCGCGCATACCAAGGCTATATTAGGTTCTAATAAGATACTCACAAATAATTAACTTAATCTAGTTAATATTTACTAGCTTGGCTTTTATTAATTACGTTGTTGTAGCAATTTTTCTGCTGTCCGATCTATGTTACAGATGTGGCCTGGGTAATTGGCGACAGCTACATGGCCAGAGCGAGGGGGAGCTTGGAGCAACATTTGCAACGTCATGGCACTACACGATGGCATGTCCGAGGCGGGAGGCGATGGCGCCACTTCCGATCTTCCCTTAACAACCTCTTGGCTTCTGCGGGTAACACCACTCCCAAATGGCTCGTGATCCATTTAGGTTCAAACGACATGTGCCAAATGTCCGCCAGGTGCATGTACGACGACATCCTATACGATTTGCTGTATGCCAAGCTACGTCTGCCGGACACCAGGTTGGTGTGGTCGTTCATGTTGCCACGTGTTGTGTGGCCGGCGGCTGGGAACATTAAAAAAGCTTGAACTTTCTCGCAAAAAGCTCAATCGAAGACTGGCTAACAGAATTGAAGAGCTACATGGGATCAGGGTCCGCCACGATCAGATTGATCCAGTTAAATGTAGCTCGGAACATTACTTGGCTGACGGGGTGCACCTGTCACTCAGTGCAATGGACTCTTTCGTGCACAATATTATCAATGCTTTAACTGCCAACTAACTCAGATAATGCTAAAATAACGGCAATAAGCGAGCACACGCTTTTCATAATTTTTTTGCGCTAATTTTGGATTGTTTTTGCTGTTCGTCTATCCACGGTTTTCTAATACCTATATCGTGCTGTGTGGATGGCCGGCGATTTGTATCGCGGTGGCCTGTTTGAGGTGAGAAGTTCTCAATCGCTATGCTGCTGGTTGTCCGCTTTCACAGTGGAAACCCCATAATCTAAAAGTTAAACGAGACTTACCTGTAAGTTGAAGTTTGACTGTGGTTCTATCAGCTAATCTACGTGAAGGAGGGGTTACATGAGATTGCAACTGCGCATGCCCGAATCAGACTTTAAAGAGTTTAGGAGGGAGTAGCCCACTAAAAAAACCAACAAGTTATGGGAGGGATAATACAGTGGTGGGCATGTAACCCCTCCTTCACGTAGATTAGCTGATAGAACCACAGTCAAACTTCAACTTACAGGTAAGTCTCGTTTAACTTTTAGATTCTATCAGCTAATCACGTGACAGTCAGGCTTCCATGAGACTTCGAAGATGGATGCTCCCTCATAAACAGATTCTCAATTCAACTCAGAAATATAAATCACCAACAAACTTGTACAACATATGAGGACTTTTATTTCCATAAAAACATCCATGACAGTAATACATGTGATATGTTTCAATATTGCCTGATAACTTTATCAAAAGGTTTTTCAGTACAACAATTGCGAAGTTATCAAATAAAATACATGTACATTTCTTTTAATGTACATTTGCAAAGAACAGTAAGCAAACTATATCTATATTTCCAAACACTTCATGAAACTAATTGAAGCATTCATATAACAGAATTGTACTTGGAGACTTTGTTCCTTTTCTGAAATCACCGAACCATACTTCTACCAATCATTCAACTCATTGCAGAATTGCTTCAGCAAAACAATTATCTCTGGCAACAATTGTCTTATCATAGAAACTGGCAAATGTATGCTCAGATGACCAGTCTGCTTTGTCAAGTATTGTTCTGATTGGCACTGAGGCCTGTCGTGCTGCTGATGTAGCTGCAGCCCTAGTACTGTGTGCAGCAAATACGTTAGTGTCAATACCTGCTTGAGCCAGGCCAGTCCTTATCCACCGTGATACAGTGTCCCGTGATACTGCCTTATAAGGTTTAATATAGGTAATGAGCAGTTTTTTCTCAGAACCTCTCAAATCTGCAGTTCTTCTTATGTATTCTCTCAGAACAGTGACTACACACACACGTCTGTCCACTGAATACTCCTTAAGAACCAGAGGTTTTGTCAGTCTTCCAGGTTTAGATTGCTTAACTAAATCAGCAAAGTGAAAAGTAATGTCAGATTTCTTCTCTGTCATGTTGTTTAAACTCAATAAATGTAACGTTTGACCTCTCTGGGCAGTTGTCAATGACACCAACAGTACTAACTTGATAGTTAGCTCTTTCAAAGAAATAAACATAGTTTGCAAACTCTGCAGAAATGTAAGAACATCTTTTACACTCCACACCTCCAGATATTTAGGAACTGGTGGGTTCTCTTGAAAAACAGCTTTAAGGAACCTAGATACCATTGGGTGACTACCACATGGTTGATCATTAAGCAATACAATAGTAGACAATGCACATCTTGCAGTGTGCACAGAGCTATAACTCAGTCCAGCCTTGACTAGCGATAGTAGGAAATCTAACACATCTGCTAAAGATGGCAAACTGAAATCAACTTTCCTTTGAGAACAAAACTTTTTCCATCTTGTGAGGTAACAGGCATACTGCTTGCGTGTTCCTTTTCTCCAAGATTTGACAAGGAACTTGGCTGCGTCATCAGAAATTCCTCTCTGTGTGAAACAATACCGGACAGTAGGCAGGCTGTCAGTCTCAGCCTCCTGGCTATGGGATGTGGGAGACCTTCCACACTGGTTACCAGGTCCTTTCGCACAGGCAACATCAAAGGTCTACAACACAATAATTGCAACAAATGAGCAAACCAAGCTTGTGTAGGCCACCATGGGACAATAATCATCACCCTAGCTCTATCAGCTTCAATTTTCTGCAAACATTTTGATAATAAACAGAATGGGGGGAACATATAACAGTATTCCTCTGCCCATGACACATGAAACGCATCAACTGCGACTGCTTCTGGTTCAGGTCTCCAACTAATGAATCTTGACAGTTTCCTATTTAGCCGTGATGCAAACATATCTATTGTAGGGTTCACATTCAAATGTTGCATGATTTTCTTAAATATTGAAGCATTGAGAGACCATTCTGTTCTATCATTAAATTTTCTGGATGCTTTATCTGCCTCTATGTTTTTAGAACCAGCTATGTGAGAGATAGTGAGCCAAATATCTCTTTCCATACACCAAAACCAGATATCTTTTGCAATTTTGTTACAATCAACAGATTTTGTACCTCCCATAGCTTGAACATAAGAAACAGCTGTAGTATTGTCTGAGAGCACATGTACATGTTTTCCATTGAAAGTGTTTGTTAGCGACAGAGCTTGGAGTGACATCAGAATAGCCTTAAGTTCCAACACATTAATGTGATAACCTTTCTCTTCCTCAGACCATCTTCCTCCAACACTATGTCCTAAATTTGCCCCCCAGCCTTGTAGGCTAGCATCAGTTGTCACTGTAAAATCAGGGCTGTGGAAGGGACAGATTTCATTTACTGATCCCAACACATTATCCTTCCACCAAATTACCTCTTGTTTAGATTCAGGTGATAGATACATAGTAGCATCAAAATCACCTTTGCTATGTTTCAGAGCTATTGTCTTCTCCATTTCAAGACATCTATAATGCAGCTGCCCAAATGTTACAGCAGGAAAACATGAGACAATCAATCCAAGTAGTCTAGCTATATCTCTTATCACATGATGAGTGTTCTTGAGAACCACTGAGCATGTCTCAGCAATGTGCATTGCCTTATCATCTGGTAACTCTATTTTCATATGTTCTGAATCCAGAATAAAACCTAAGAATTTCATTCTCCTTGAGGGCTCAAAATTGGATTTTTCATGATTTATTGTAAAGCCCAAATGTTTCAGAAATTCTGCCATTCCCTCTACTGATGCCTTGCATTCAGCTTTTGTCTCCGCCTGAGTATAGGTGTCATCAATATACCCCATACACTGATTACCTTGCAGTCTCAAATGTGAAAATACTGGCTTAAGTATCTTAGTGAATACCCGAGGAGCACAAGCTAACCCATTTGGCATACATGTGAATTGGTACAAGTACCCATTCCACCTGAACCTTAAATATTTTCTATGATCTTCATGTACACTTACTGAATAATAAGCATGTGTCAAGTCAACTGATGCCATGTACATATTCTTTTTCAACAAATGCAATACTGTTTGTAAGTTTTCCATTTTAAAATGATGGTACTCTATAAACTGGTTCAATTGCTTCAAGTTCAGAATCATTCTATATTTGTTATTTTTCTTTTTTCTGATGAATATATTAGAAATGAATTGGTCATCAGTTTCTTCTGCCAGCTCAATGACACCAAGTGTTTTTAAAACTTCAATTTCTCTGTTAACAATTTCCTTTTCTTGATCATTGAATTCAATTTGTTTTGGCTCTTTAAACTGCATAGGAGTTTTTATCATATCTATTTTCAATCCTGAAACAATGTCTAAAATATGCCTGTCATGGGTCAGCTTCTGCCACTCTGATAAACAGGAAGCTATAGAACCTGCTTTAAAATTAGCTTCTGAATTCAAGGGATGACACTGACCTACCTGAGCTGAATCCTCACTCTCGCTCATTGGGGCCAATACTGCTAGTTCTTCCCCCCTCCTCTTCTCTTTTCGAAACCTCTGTTGTATTGGGGGTTCCCTGCTAAAAAATATCCAGGTGGGAATCCACGACCACGACCACGACCTCTGCCTCTGCCTCTGCGGCCAAACTGATTATTATAAGGCATGTAGCGAGCAGTCTGGTGATACCCACGACCTCTGCTGATTGATTTTCCAAGATGACTGGCCATATTCATGTCCTTCAGGCTTTTAGCAATATCATCACCAAACAGATAGTCACATGAAGTGGGTGCACTTGGAGCACATAAAGGTCGATACTGGAAATTCAGATGTGGTCTTATGAGTTCTTTTCGTCTCTGGACAATTTCCCTGTTGGAATACGAGGTCATAGTCAATGTATCTGATAACTTGTTAACCATTTCCGAGTAGACGGGAGAAGGGATATGCTTCTTGTTCTTCATCAGAACTTCAAGTGTAGCGGTAACACATGTGGCAGCTTTAATCACGCCATTCTGTACTTTTTGCATTCTACAGTCCATAGACCTAGCTCCGGGATTGATAGAATCCCACAGCAGTTTGTTTACCTCGGGAGTTTTCAACCCATGGCAATTTTCAGGCCTCTTGATCGATTTCATTTTTGTCGATAAGGACGATTCGTCCGGTCTGGTCTCAAAGAGTTCAGTTACCAGTTCAGCCAATTTTGCGTCGATAGGTTCACCCTCTGGCTGCTCAAGCAGCAAGTTAGAACGGACAGCACTCAAAAGGCCATTCTCGTCAAAATTCTCCTCTCCGGAAGGCATAGCCACTTCCTGTTCATGCGCAGGGTGTGTGGTGAGCAACTGGTTTGCAATGCCAACGGAACCGGTTTCGGTTCCTACACTCAGTGAACTTTTATGGAGTTTATTCTGACTCGGTTCAATGTAATCCATTTCGTCGTCATCGTCAAATTGACCATATGTGTGGTCTTCTCCGCCTTCATAATAAAACGAGTCTATTTGTTCCTGAAAACCATCTAATCTAGTGTCCATAGTTTCCCGCATGTTTTTTACCTCGGACACAAGCTCTGACATCAGAATTAGAGAGGATTCACTCTCGACTGCTTGGCCACTCGGGCCTGGGATAGCATTATTGCTAACAGATGATATCTTCCCGCGAGTGGATTTTTTACCATTGCAGTCAGTTTTATTTTTGGACTTAGATTTGCTATGTTGACTTGAGTGATCACTGTCTGCTGACGGACTTGTTAAACAAGCCTCCGCCATTATCGTGCCTCGGCACTCGGTAACACGTGGTTTTTATATTTCGAAAAACTCAAGTTTCCACAATTACAGATAATAATATCTGTTTTTACACTAATTATAGTGATTTATAGGGAGCTGGGTTGTATTTATACAACTGTAACCAGCTAAAAAAGTTCAAATGATCTCACTGGAAAACTTATTTTCCAGAGCTGAGATTTTTACGTCTGATCTCTACGAAAGCACAGCTTTGCACTGATTCGGGCATGCGCAGTTGCAATCTCATGGAAGCCTGACTGTCACGTGATTAGCTGATAGAATCATAATTCCAGCCTGCTTTACAGTAGGTGGAATTCATTCGCTCGCTATGCGCACCTCGTCTGCTTGGTCACAGCGGAGAGGTGATTGTGTAATATGCTCTCGCTGCTACTTCTCACCCCTGTATAGCCATCCACACATATTGGCCACTACTTCCCAAAACAAATATCTTCCTTTTCATTTATAACGCTAGTCCAGCAATAATTTGATTTTATCATCTGACCCTTTTGAGGCTCTGCCACTTTGTTTCTTCAAAGAATTTTTCTTGGTTTGACCTATTTTTTAACGATTTGTTGAACGTTTGACGTTGATTGAGACTTTTGCGTTGACTGAGAAGATGTGTTACAGTCATAAGATGACATCTGCAAAACTAATGTTTTGGGTGAATTTGATTTATATTTATCTCCATTTGACGTTTCCAAACAGGACAGCTTCTAGAGTAAGAGGAATGATCCCCTGCACAGTTTGTACATTTTTTGACAGTACTGTCACAATCTTCTGTTGTATGTGTCTTCTCACCACAGTGAGCACATACAACAGACAATGTGCAAGTATTGACGCCATGACCGAAGTTTTGGCATTTGAAACACCTTAGAGGGTTCGGAATGTACGTTTCTACATTGATGTTACAATAACCTGCTTTAGGAGATTTTGGAGCATTTGGTGAAGCAAATGAAAAAAGCAGGTATTGGTTTTTAGAACAGCATCATTTTTCCGGGTTGTGAAATGTTTTACATAGAGTACGCCTTGGTCGTTCATCTCAGAGACAATGTCAAGTTCTGACATATCTGCAAACAATCGATCACGGTCTCTGATGATTCCTTTGCCTGTGTTTAAAGTTTTATGAGCTGTGACTGTGACTGGAACGCCGACAAACGATTCTGTACCCCTGGTGTGTAGACAGCATGTGAGACGAGGAGCAGACAAAACTTTCTATATTTTGTCTATAAAAGCTTCCTGAGGACACATCTTTATGTGAGGAACTATATAGTAGTGTATTCATTATATCTGGATCGAAAATGGTGAATATCGATGTGTACCGAGCCCGTATCGGAACTTTCACCCAACCTGTGGGTACCCGGCAAGTGAGACTAGCGAGAGACAGTGAGTACGCGCCGTACACGGTCGGGACCGATGTCCAGTTCAGGCTTTTGATTTGTGCTTTATTGTTCACACTACACCTACAAGCTTCGTTCTGTATTTTGCACCTCCATGAAAAAATGAATTTTGAGCATTATATACCAAAAGAAAATATATTTCTTTGTGTATCATGTGACGTCACAAGCTTCGTACGTCAGACAGTGATTGGCTGCCATGCACTGAATGCACGGGTCTCATGCTTTCTCGGAGGCGATGTGTCACCAGCCAGGGTTATCACTCAGATACTCATGTGTTCGAATGATATCGAAACTAACCCGGGTCCACTGACTCTGGAAGAGGTTAAAGATGTTTTAATGAATGAACTACGCGAGGTAAAATCAGAAATCTCTTCACTAAAATCCGAAGTGCAATCTATAAACTCGACATGTGGACAACTTGAAAACGCAGTCAAGGAAATACGGTCTGATATCAACAATATGAAGCAAAATCAGGACTTGATATATTCGGACATCGATGCTGTGAATGATAAGGTAGACGAAATGAGCGAAAAATTATCAAAGTTTGATGAAGAGTTGGATAGACTTGAATCGATCAGTCGTCGTGATAATGTTATTATTTACGGTATCCCCGAGTCAGAAGGTGAGAAATCTATGGCCTGTAAACAAACCGTGTTGTCAATTTTCAACGAACATGTGACGTTTAAGACCTGGCAGTCCACCGACGTCATACGTGCCCACCGTCTTGGCGCCCGACGCGTTAACGATACAAAACCACGCCCTGTGATCGCCAAGTTGCAGGTTTCGGATGACAAGGTCAGAGCGCTAAAAGCACGTAACGATCTTAAAGAAGCTGGATATGGGATCTCGAGCGACCTAACTACGCGGCAACGCCGACAACTACAGGAACTGAAAGGAACCGGAAAGTACGGATTCTTCAAGAACGGCCAACTGGTGACCAAGCAACGCACGGATAAGGACGCACCTGCGCAACGTGGAACAGCAAGAACCGTGGCAAGCATTAGACGCGAGAGACGTGAACGTGAAACGTCCAGTTAGGACACTGGCCGAAGCCCGGATAGTTTACTACGGGGAACAACCGAAGTTAGCACCGCCGAAACTAAAGTACCCGTGAACACTGTGGAGGAACAATTTTTACTTTCTTATGTTGGAATGTCAACGGACTGTTGAGTAAAATCAGTGACTTTAACTTCATCCAATACCTTCGACAATATAAGGTAATATGTCTTGTTGAAACATTTGTCGTGTCTATCCCGAATAATTGGTTAGTAAACTATGACATTTTTTACAGTCCTGCCATTAAAGTATCCGACTACGGTCGTCTATGTGGTGGTGTATGTGTGTGCATACACCAGTCCTACAGTAAATTCTGTAAACTGATTCCATCCACACAAGATAACTTACTATGGTTACACTTGTAAAAAGAATTGTTTAAGTTGGACAGTCATGTGAATTTGATATGTACCTATATTCCACCGTCTGGCTCTTCTTACTACGGTGGTTCCAATACTAAGTGTAGTTTAGAATATTTAGAAGAATTAATTTCAGACAATTCATCAATTATTCAGGACTCTCACACTATAATTTGTGGCGACATGAATTCTAGAACGGGAGAAATGAATAACGCAAAAGTTCAAGAAAATGATGATGCAAATGATAATATTCATTTACCTTGGCCAGAGGAAGACGATACCATAGTTAATGATCGTAAATCTCATGATAAAGTTATAAATAAGTTTGGACAGTACCTGATTGATTTTTGCTACGCGTTTGGCCTATTTATTGTAAATGGGAGAGTAAATGGGGATAGCGAAGGGGGAATTTACCTACTGTGGTCATCAAGGCACAAGTGTAAATGATTACTTTATTTGTTCACCAAATTTCTTTAAGCACATTGATAAGTTCAATGTAGGAGACATGTTGAATTCTGACCATTTTCCATTGGAGTTAACATGTAAATTTGCTGACTCGATAGTGAGTGACACAGGTAATCTGTTTGATGAAAAGATCATTTGGAATGATTCTCTTTCTGAAATATATGTTCATAATTTACAGGAACGGTTGTTGGCCTATGGTGAGAGTTTAAGCGAGACAATCGAAGTGAACGTGAATCATGCTATTGATGACTTTGTAAAGATTATAATAAACTCCGCGGATTGTATGAAAAAAAGGTTTTATTTAAATAGAACTAACAGGAAACGTCAGTCAACAAATCCACAATGCATAAATGCAAAACGAGCAGCGCGCAGAGCCCTGAGGCAGTTTAGAACTAAGCACACTGATTATCACCGCGCAATTTATTGTAGACAGAGGAATGCATATAAGACTTGTTGTAGAAAATATAAATCTGACCTCGCTAAAGTACGACTAGATAATCTTTGTAAATCTTCAAAATCTCCTTCAAAATTTTGGAAACAAATACGATCGCTACAGAATCGGGACAAGATAACTTCTCCTATTTCTAAATCTGAATGGCTCGGACACTTCAAAAATATATTTGCAAATACTGATATATTCAACAACAATGCCACTACAATTGAAGATGATACCATATACTCCGATTACGATGATAGCGTTGATGAACAAGTTTTAGATTCTCCAATAACAGAAACGGAAATAAGGGAAGCTATAAGACATTTAAAGAGGGGGAAAGCAGCTGGGCCTGATAATGTTATTATAGAAATGTTAAAATGTTCGCAAAATGAAACTATGCCTTTTCTTATAAAATGCTTCAATTACCTTTTTAACAGCGGTACTTTTCCAGCTAGCTGGTCACGTTCTATCATTATTCCACTGCATAAAAAGGGAGACTCTAGTAATCCAGATAATTACAGGGGAATATCTCTAATGAGTTTATTAGGGAAGATACTTACAACAATATTGAACAATAGGATATCCCAATGGGCAAATATGCGCGATAAAATTCCAGAAACACAAGCAGGGTTTAGAAAAAACTACTCCACGACTGATCATATCTTCACTTTATATGCAATTATTCAAAAATGTCTATCACGTAGAAAACATAAATTATATGCTGCATTTGTAGACTTCAAAAAAAGCATTTGATACAGTTGATAGGTTCAAACTTTGGAACTGCTTAAGAGATACTGGTCTCAGGGGCAAAATGTATTCCATGCTGAAGGAAATGTACTCAAACATAAAGTCCTGTGTCCGTTGTGAGACGGGTACAACAGACTATTTTGATTGTCCTATAGGTTTGCGACAAGGTTGCATCCTCAGTCCCATCCTATTTTCATGTTTTATCAGTGAATTATATAATGATATTGTTTCTTATGGAAAACATGGTATTCAACTGTTCCCGGATTACCTGGAAATTTTAATGCTTCTCTTCGCAGATGATGTGATTTTACTATCAGATACGGTGGTGGGATTACAACGACAACTTAACATTCTAGATAATTACACTAAGGAATGGAAACTCTCAGTAAATCTTGACAAAACCAATGTAGTTATTTTTCGGAAGGGTGGTCACATTTCTCAGAAAGATAAATGGTTTCTTGGTAATCAACTTGTGAAAACAGTTGATTGTTACACGTACCTCGGTGTTCGTTTTTT